ACTAACCTTGCGAAACAAATGCTTTAGTGGAAAAGTTATTGTCCTAACTGATTAAAAAGAAGAAGAAAAACGTTATTTCCTATCCGTCTTTGGCTTTACTAAAACTTATAGTAAATGGTAGCCACATATATAAGAGTACGGCAGAAAACACCAAGCATGCTCTCTCCCAGTAGAAGGTAGAAAATAAAGAGGATCTGGAAACTTTTACATTAGAAGGACCAGCTATACCTTCATAGTGATTGAACAAACCTGCTGAAGTTAGTAGACATGAATTTTATGTCTTTTAACCAATACCTTTTAAGAAAAGAAGGCACTACAACAGCTTAAATTGTCAATTCTTTGAGTGCTCAATTCTTTTACATTAATTAATATCTAAGCTCCAAGGAAAGGACAACGACAGATTTCTCGTTTTGCTTGTAGGTAAGATACTATTTGGTATCTCGCTCACACTGCTTGGCTGCTATACAAAATTACATCCCAGTTTAGAGTTGAATGCAGATCTTTAAGATCTACAGGCACCAAACATCTTAGCAAAAATAATGTGTATATTCACAAGAAGATAAAATGGTTAAGGTCTAGAAGATTACTAATTTAAATTCTAAGATTTATTAAAAAGAACTTCCTATGAAAGAAGACAGCATATTACCATACAAATTTTTCAAGATAAAAGTAATAGATAAAATGTGATACAAACATTTATCTCAGCTATCCAGTACAGTTGACACTATTCAAGGGACATGAGGACCCTAGAAAGTGACATAGAGAACATGAAACCAAGAACAATCACCAACTCTAATCAATCATCAAGAAAGAAGATTAAGAGGCAGATGCTCTCTAGCATCCTACAGGCTAAGGATGATTTTAAATTTCAATAACAATGAGATCATGTGACAGACAAACATCATTAATGATTAATGTCCTTATATACTAATATGTTTGATCATTTAAACAACAAAGCACAGCTAGCTGACCAAATCCCAGAGATTTTTCATACATCATTCAGATATTAGAAATGAAAAAAAAAAAAAAAGACCACCTCATTTTAAGCTACTTGAGATTGGTGACCGCTATATGAATTCTCACAGTCCATTTTTTGTTGTATCTATTTTTATTTTTTTTTGAGAATTGGTTACATCATTTCTTGTTTTATCTATTTCATACCTATATTCAGTTACATGATGTTCTTTAACACTAGCAATTCTACATAATTTCTATGGACATCCCCAGACATATTAAAGAAAAATCCTAACAAATATTGAACCTAATCTTATTAAGACTTAATCCACCGAGTGGGTGTTGCATGTGTAGATCCTTTACATACATTGTATTTTAGTTTTCGCTAAGTTCGCATGTACTGTGAGAGATTTTAGGTCTTTTTGACACAACTTCCTTTCATATGATTTAGATCTACCTGTCTCCTATTAACATCTTCAATAAACATAAGACATGATGAAATTATCTCAAATGTCTTCTATCACTTCATCCTCTATGTGTGCTAATTGCACCTTCTATTGGATGTGATATGTTCTGATATTATTTAACCTTGTATAACCACAGATCTATCATCCATCTTAATATTTGTGTTCCTTTGGAACTCACCTTGTAGATATGTTGGGCCTTAAAATCTCAATAATCACTCTCTTATAACATGGTTAGCCTAACAACCATTCTATATTCTTTCCATTCACTTGGTAGGTACCATTGTATCATACAATATTCCCATAGCACTCACCTAGTCCCTCCCTCAAATTGCAAGAGTCTCTACAAGTAAACAGAGACAAATATGCAAGAAAACATTTCCGGCATGTAAGCTTCCTTTTCAATCAACAAAATGTAGAATTTATTCTTCATAGGTTTGATTGATACACAAGATAGCACCTAAAAAACTAACTCAACTTCTTATGAATTCTGGAGGAGCCAAAAAGTTTTCATCACTCTCGCTCTCAGTAATGACCTGGGATAGAAAAGAGCAAAGGAGGGACATAAATAATGAAGTGATGTCATTTAGAGGGTAATTAGTTTTAGTTTTAACAGTAATACAAAACACAACTACTGATTAAATAAATGAAGTGGACGGCTAGGATCTATTCTGCAAAGGTATGCGGTGTGTCGAATCTGGCTATTTTCATTCCTTTCTAATGCACTTCTCTCTATCTGATTCTTCTCTTTCCTCTACATTTTTTCTCATCGTTTTTTCCTCATCTGTTTCCTACCAAATTATGTTCTTCAGGTTACAACAACTATGCTGGTCACGGATGGGCACAATTTCAGAGACTATGGCCCTTTCTAGTTTCATCGGCAAGACATTGTTTTGAACTGGTTTCAGCTGTGAATTGTGAGACTATATTGTGGTGCATTTCAATTTTCCAGTAATTTCCAATTTTATTGATAAATCTAGCTGAGTTGCTAAATTTGGAACTCAATTTGATAGCCCATTACTTTCAGTAAGAGCGCAACCAACCTGAACTTGACTAATGGCACAAATGACTGGAGCAGAATCAACGAGATCCAAACAGGCGGATGAGAACTATCGGCGGCTAGATAAGAAGATGCAAGCAGTCATGGGTGATACACGGGCGAGATTCAAAGGGACAGATAAGAACAATGAATATTGAACTCTAAGCTATCCGGTAAAGCCAAACAAATGGAGGAGTTCCAAAACTCAACTATAAAAATGTTTGAACATCTAAGTATGATGATTGACCATTCTGGTGGGAAGGCATCCATAAAGAATGAGTCAACCAGCAGGGGTGATGAAAAACTTCTGAGGCCTAGGATCTCATATCCTAGAGAAGTTAATACGATGGATTTCAAAGGTAGCATCCACCTAATTTACAGTTTCCAATGTATGATGGTAGCGAACCTCGAATGTGACTGAGAAGGTGAAAATTATATTTCAATGTTTGTCAAATCACTTCTTATGAGGAACTCAACCATTTCAGAAGATTTCCTTTTAACATGTTTTGCTGGTCGTCTCAAGGAAGAACTCAGATATAGAGAGAGGCTAATCAGTCACTTCATTTTATCTCAAGCAGTGGCCAAGAACAGGAGAAGCTAATGATTGTTGTGGATAAGAAAAACAAGTGGCTGCACAAGGGGATAATTACTCCAGTCAAGGACACTAGTAAAGGATTTAAGAATTTAAGAAGAACATATGAAGATTACCATATTTTTAATTTCACTCCAAGTAGTTATGCAGAACATGTGGCTGCACAAAAGGATGCACATTATTTTCTTATTTTTTTGTCAAGTAACCTGATTCTTATCACTCAAGGTTTTGTGGATTGAGGGAGCTATTATAACACCCTATAATACCAAACTGTGAAGGAGCTTGTGACTGAATTATTAGAGGAGATTCCCTTGAGAGTAACAGTAGCCGATGGAAATCAAATGTTAGGTCATCAAAGTTGTGAAAGCGTCATAGTAGAAGGCAAAAAGGATCGAGTTCCTTGACAAATTTAGACTGCTGAAACTGAAGGTTGTGATGTGGTTCTTGGAGGGGATCGGATGACACACTGTCCAGTTATGATCACCATAAGATCATAGTCAAACATTTTGGGAAATTGGTAGAGCATAAGGGAGATACAGGAATGGAAATACTAAATCAGATCACAGCTAAACCAATGGGAAAGATACTGAGGAAAAACCAGGCTTTGTTAGCTCACCTAACTAGCCACCAGAGAATTGGAACAGTACTAACTGAAGAAAACAGACTACTGCTTACTACAGCAAGCCCCTAGCTCCAAGACATGTAGGAGCCAATGTATGAGTAGGAACAACTGGAAATAATAGCAGCCATGGACATCGGAGGCACTACATTGAGTACATTCAAGGCAGACATTTCATCATTAAGAGTGACCATTTCAGTTTTAAATACTTGGAGCAGAAGGTAACTACAGTCATTCAGCAGAAAGGCCAAACTAAATTACTTGGACAGAATTATGTAATCCAATATGGGAATGGTTCTGAAAATAGGGTGGCTGATGCACTATCCAGGATACCCAAGGACCAAGGAGAAACTTATGCAATCTATGGTGTTCTCCTACATGGATAGGAGGTGGAAAAGATTTATGAAGGGAATGATCAGGTTGAAAGGATTATAGCTGCAGTTGTAGTCAATTATGGAGCCAATTCTCACTGTAACTGGTCACAAGGAGTGCTGAGATATAAGGGCAAGATATACATGGGGAAAACCCCAGCAGAAGGTAACAAATTACAGACCCTGTAAACTAACGCCCTTGGAGGACAGTTGTGAAGAGGCTACAAATCTGTTTTACTAGCCAGTCATGAAAAAAGATGTACAAAAGAAGCAAAGATGAAATTGTGGCAGACCTCTAAAACTTCCTGCAGAAGCTCATAGAAGGGTTACCCAAGTCACAAGATGAACATGTGATATTAGTGGTTATTAATAGATTTACCAAGTATAGGCACTTCCTTACTCTACAGCATCAATTTACAGCTGTGCAGGTAGCAGAGTTATTGCTCGAGGAGAATAAAACTTACATGAATTTCCTACACTCTGGTATCAGACAAGGATAAGGTGTTCACTAGTCAATTCCGGTAACATTTACTCAAGGAATCAGTGACTCAAGTCTCAACTGTGTCTAAGCACTGCTTATCACCCTTAGACTGATAGACAAAGTGAAAGATTGAATATGGGGCACTCCTATTCAAGCATTATATGGATATGAACCTCCCCAACTTCCTATGGGGCCATTTCCTTAATCTCCAGCTCTATCACTGCAGGACCTCATTCAACAAAGACTGCAGGTCCTGAGGGGCCACTTAGTTTATTGATGAGTTGATAAGTTTTGAATTTAAGCTCATTACTCTCATGCATACTACAAAGCCATGATAACATTAACATTGTTATAGCATGCATATTAAGTAGATTATTGAAACCATCTTCTCTACATGCATTAATCAAAATTTCAGCTTGCAACCTCATGCCTTATCCTTAAAAAAATAGTAATTTAAAGATGGAATGAGAAGGAATTTACTTGCAAGAACGAGAGACAACAGAATTAGCGATTGAAGATAGAAAAGGTAAAGGCTGATAAGGCGGTGCATCATTGCCACCTTCACTGTCACCGTTTCGCTTTTTTCCATTGAAAGAGAATATGGATTTCAACGCTAACAAACTCTTTATCTCGTTGCCATTGTTCTTCTCATCTTTACTTTTCCCCACTCTATTCTCATTCTCCATCTTTCCCTTTACTTCAGATCCACCGCCTTCCGGCGGATAAATATTCTTTTCTTTTCTTTTCAATTTAGGCGAAATGGTCTACACTTGTAATTGTGTATCAATTCAATCCTTAAATTCATCAAACTAAGCATTTTGACCGTGTGAACCTTCACAAAAATGACATATTAGGTCCACATCACATTTTAAATGACACATTATTTTATTTTATTTTATTTTATTTTTAAATCTATTTTTTCTTCTTTTTCACTTCATTCCTCCTTCATACCTCCAAACTTTTCCATTTTTTCATATTAGAGATACCACCACAATCTTTCATTCTCACTAGTATCATCACTTTCCTAAATAACTAAATATCATCATCAAAAAAAAATTCCATGTTTCTATCATTCACAACTTTTAATTCTATTTTTTTTTAACCAAAGTTTACATTCACTACTTAAACTACCATCAATATATTTTATCAATTGATGCTAATGAATCGCTATTAAAATATCTCAATATACTCCAATATTTGTACATGATAATGCGCAATTTACTCCTATAATTGTTCAATGAGTAGGTGATTATTATCAATATAATTATTCAACATATTAGGTCGGGCTTGAATCTCACAGGGAGTGGTATATGTAAGAATTCAATAAAGAAGGTAAAATATGATCTAATATATCGTAGCAAATAATAACAAGGGTGGATAATTCTAAATATTAATTATAGTGGTTTAGTAACCAATTTCAACAATAACAATAAAATCGGGTGCTTCGCAATTCGAGTAATAGTTTAGAAGTGTGCCGAAATGAGAATAGATTTCAAGTCGTGGATCGATGTGGTTGCCCATTAACGTTGATGCTCATAGGTAGGCAGGATTAATCTCAGACACATATTACATATTTCAATCGCAACATGCTCATCATAGAGCTTCCTCCGAAGCCTCCCATGTCAAAACAACTTAACAATCCATGACCTTAACTTGGGTTTTCTCTTTCAAGCAAACCCAACACTTAGAAGTGAAACCCTTAGTTCCTTTTTCAAGCAAACAAGAATTTCAAATTCAATATGTAAGCATTGAACTAATCATTCACTTCATATCACCATTTCCAAGCAAAATATGATCTAAAATAGAACTAAGTTTACAACCCCAATTCATAAGTTAACACACAACAATTAGTTCAAACCCATACAAAACAACATGAAAAAGGGCAACAACACACTATTCCACCAAATTAATCCATACCCACTTCCATTTGAACACCCCTAGAATTGAGATTTTAGCCAATCATTATAAAAGTAAAAGAAAATATACCGAAAACAATATCGGTCATCTTGGTTTGTTGATTACAACTTCAATTTCAAATACCTAGCGAAAATACTCCAAATTTTCTACACAAAATTGTTCAAAATTCAAAAACTAAGAAGTGTCTCTATCCTGAAAAATATCCAAAGGTGGAAGATGAACTTTCTCTCTCTTTCTAACTATTTATACTTTCCCCAAAACATGGCAAAAAATTCAGCATGTGGTTAGATTGGCGAGGTTAGTCAGGCTCGTAGACTCGATCGACGAGGTTAGTCAAGCTCGTAGACTCGATCGGTGAGTCACCAACTTAGTCTTTTCCTCACCCTTTCCTTCATCATTTTTGCTCAAGTGTTTTGTCTACTTCGGCAAACTTGCATGAACTCACCAATTACATTTGGCGAGTCGCCTTTGTATTCATTTGCTCGCCTTAGTTCCCATGACTTTTTAGCTCAGCTTCAGGCATCGTTGACGAACTCAACATAGCTCTCCTTTCCCATTCGCTGAATCGCCGATCATCACTTTAGCTCACCTTTTTGGCCTTCAATTTATTCTGAATGTGATGTGAGGCCAAAAATACATATTTTTATTCATTATTTGCCTCATATTTAGTGTTTTTATTTGTCCTTTTTGTGCATAGATTTTATGGATTATGCTAAATAGTATATTTTATTTGTAGGAGAAAATTGGTGTAAAGATGAAGAAATTTGGAGCTAAAACAAATTAAAGATGAATAAATTTGGAGCTAAAATGAATTAAAGATGGAAGATTATTGAAGAAAATTAAGCAAGCAGTTTAATGGATTAAATTGAATATAATATTATAAAGTATGTTTATCGGCAAATTGCAAATTCAAGAAGTTGAAATTGAACGAGAATTTTACAAGCTGCCACGTGGCAACATATGAAGGACCCAATTCTATGAGGCGGTTGGATAGTGCAGAGCACGCAAAATTTTAATTCTATTAGGTTTTGGGTTCCTAATTTGTTTTGTACTCAATTGTTTTATTTAGGGTTTCCTACATCTATAAATAGTACATAAGAATAATTATTAGGGGAGGAGGACACAATGTAGAAAATAACTTTTTATCTAGGGTTTCATATTTTCTTCTCCTTTATTTCTTTTATTTATTTTACACCTTTTCTTTGAATGATCCGTTGTAATTTCTCTATGTTTGTGTGGAGTTAAACTTCTCGTTCTAGGATTATGTTAACTTATAAAATGATTGTTTGATGATTTTTGATTCGGCACACTTTTTTATCATATTAGTTGTTCTAATATTCTTGTAATTACTATTTTGATGCTTGGCCACCATTAATGTAAATTTATTGTCTTCTTTTGAACTCGAGAGAGGAATAGAGGGATAGAACGTGGAATATAAGGAGCATGATCTTTTCTTGCATATCACTTGAATTGATTAGTGTCTAGGATAGGGATATACCTAGGTTCCTTGCTTGGTTCAAATACGGGAAGACAACGTAATGCTCCATAGTTATACAATTTATCCGTGCTCAAAAATGTAGTTAGATTGTCAATTGTGGTAGATGGTCAAAGGTCGGGAGATCATGTTCATATTATCTACCCCGTGAATCAACAACTAGATAATCAAATAAGTCGATGAAATTGATGCTAAATAGGATTGTTAATTAAATCTTAATCCTAAATCGATTTATTCATTGATTGTTTGAAAAATCTATCTTTTCTTAATTAATTGTTTTTTTTATGTTATCATTAGTTTTAGTTTAGTTAATATATATTCATCTTTGACATCCTCCCTTGAATAAATAATCAGAATTAGTATAATTTAGTAAATAATTAATTGACAAGTCTTTTGGGTTCAATAATCTGGCTCTTTTAAGGCCACTATATTAACTGCACGACCACGTACACTTGTGTTGTAACGCCCCTCAAAATGAAATAGAATAATTAGAGCTTCACATGCGTGTTAGTAGTTGATAAACTTGTATAAATGTTTGAAAATGAGTTTATAGCTCAGTTTAGTTGAGTTTGAAGTCAAACGTCAAAGAGACGTTCAAGACGTTCGAAAACTGGTCGTTTGCGTGCTAGTTTGTTTCTAGTGTGTCTTGCATGTTTTTATGTGTCGTATGAAGTCTAAAATCAGTGGAGGTGACCCTAATGTCTTAATAAATTCTTTTAGGGTCAAAACGTTCGGGTACGACTCCCCGGGACCACCCTAAAGGTCCCCGAGGAGGACCCCCACCCTTGGCCAAACAAGCTGCCAAGGCAGCTTGAAGTTGTTCATGGAGGGAGTGGCTCCGCATCGCGGACCTGCTCCACCAATGGCCAAAAAAGTGGCTCCGCGTCATGGAGACACCACTAACTCTACTGTCTCAAAATTTAACTTCCAAAAACTTGTGGGAACACCTCTACATCGCGGACTTGTTTCCCGACGAAATCTGCGAAAATAAAACTCAAGTTTGACTTGTTTAAAAGGTCCAACTAAGTGAGGGGTAATTTGGGTACTGGGTTATTATAATTTTAAGTGTTTTTAAGTATTTTAAAGGTATTAAAACATTTAAGAGG